ACGTTTTGTCCGCAAATTATTTTAATTAAATGATAAATCGGACATTCAATCAGTATATACAGCATATATGCCGTTAACACCGCTATCACGTAATCAATGATTGCCCCCTCAAACTGCAAATACAAATAGTTTACATTAGCTCGTTGATTAATATTATTTACAATATTAAATAATGGTTTACACAGACCATTGGTAATAATAATTTAATTTTCACATTATTTATGTACTGTAAATAAACCTTATAAAACTTATTTAATTATATTGTATTATTTATTTTATTTATTTTTGGACGCTAAAACCCATTGCCAGCTAACTAATAATTTAATTTTTCAATTCACTAATACTTACAATCCCTGAGTGTGTCATAACATAAGTCTCTCTAATGGCCAACAGTCGGGTGCCTATAATAATGATGTGCGACAGGTATATACCAAATGCCAATTTGGCCAATGGCTGTATGGGCTGGTAGTTGAAAAACCGCTGTATAATCCCTACAATAAATTAAAAAATTAAATTATAACAAAATGTGCATTATTATATTTAATTGCACTGCACACTTACAGCCGCGGTTAGTACTACACGCGTATACAATCCATCCGTAGCCCAACGCCCACAACACACGCCCACTCAGAAACCACACCAGAAATGATTTCTCATTAAAGCCCCCTTTCGTGGCTTTGAATGTCTCGCCCCACGCGCTGGCGATTTGGGGCAAAATCATAAAACCAACCCAAAGGCAAAGCACACCGTTTTTGCCCACTTTGTTGAGTGCGTCGGGTTTACAGCGTATGAGATAACCCCACACCAGACCCACTATGAATGTCGAGATGTTTTGCTCAGTAGAGCCCAAGTAGTGTATGAATGAATGGCTCATTTCGCGTGTAGATTCCATGCGGTCTACTTCGTAGGGCATTATCCGAAAGTCCATGAATAACCTTGGTACTATGCTCAAAAAACAACCAACACAGGCCAGTAGGGCTAGTATGGCGAATCCAACGTGTTTGAGCTTGATCAGTAGGAGTAATAGCGGCGCAAATATGTGCAGTTGAAATATGGCTGAAAATGTGGCGCTGGGCATATTACACTGGTGGGTAAAAAACAAGAAATTTAAATTTAGTTGTTTATATATAACTATATAAATATTTTAATAATAAACTGTAATTTAAATGTTAAAATTGATAAAATTATATTATAATTAGTAAAATAGTTGCAATTGGGTGATATGATATTATTAAAATAAGTTTTTAACTATTAATATTTTATAATAATCACTGCTTATTAATCAATTAATGCAATAATTTAATAATGTAGTAAGTAGCAAATAACTAACCACTTTATCAATTCCAGTCATATAATTGCTATAAAAGAATAGCGATGCCATCAGATTTTGTTTGCATGGTTTTACATGAACTGGCTCAAAATAATGCCAAATTGGACCATCACCAATCAATGGGATCAAATATAACAGTAATATGGGGCCAATTATACGCCGAAATAGACTTAAGTATCGGTTTATTAAATACTTTAAATAATGCAAAGGATTGTATTTGGATTTGCGTTTATCACCGCATATATTGTACGCCAAAACAATTGCACTGTAAGTAAAAATAGTTTCAATATTATTTATGGATTGTGTAATAAATACATAATAATAAAATTATACTTTGAAAAATAATTAAAATTGCAAATGTATTGATTTATAATTATCAATAATCTATATCACAAACAATAATAATAATTCTTATTTATAAATTTATTGTCAAAAACTGTAACTAATATTAAATGTTTCATAATATTATACTAAATTACCCCTGGTCAATGTAGTTCCTTTTAGGAACTTGAAGTAGAAAAGCCAATTGTCATAAACAAAATTAAAATTTTGTTATATTATTTTACACTAGTAATTTAATTTACGAATTAACGAATTCCCATTATTAATAAATAATGCATTAATAATTTTGACATATTTTGGATCTACTTTTAATTGTGAACAATTTTTTTCATTAATGAAATCGCTTAAAAATGACAAAACTGGTAGTATTTGCGCAAAAACATTAAGATCACGTTTGAAAATATTGTCATCAAATACGATTGAGTCAAATCTTAATAAACTTGTTGATAATCGCAAACAATATCACAAATCTCATTAAAATGTGTATTATATAATTTAATTTTGTTTTAAGTGACGTTTTGTGGATAGACTGAAAGCCAACCACTTATAAAAATGGGTGAGAAACTATTAGGTTGACCTTAACGCGGTGTTTCTTGTTTAATACTGACAAACCTAAACTTTTTTACTGACCGTTGCGCCACCTTTTTATGGCATACTGTGAATCTGTATATGTGATATGCTAAAAAAGATTGGCCAGGCCTAATCTAAAATATAGCCTTATAAATTTATAATAACAAAATACCAAGTAAATGCATTTATCATAGAAAAAGTGTTTCCATGTTATCGTATGTGGTGTTAAAGTATAAAAATAAAATTATAATGAAATTCAATGACAGATCCCATAGGATGGGGATAAACCATAAATTAACCGACGCAAACTTTCTTATATCAACGCGGGGTTAATAATAACATTTCTAGAACAGTGTTTTGGTTATATCTTTTAAACAATATGAGATACTCTGCTTCTGTAAAAAGCATTTATTGTGTAACATTTTAATATATTTTGGTCACGTGATATACACAATTAAACTTGCCAGCACGTAAAGGTTTTCCTTGATTGTCAAGAAATGTAGGGTTTTGTCAAGGTGTAAAGCGAGGGTCTTTCATTGTACTGTATGCAAACATTTTATTTAACTTTACAATGCATTGTTTAGTAATAAACAAAATATTAGCATGTAAGACAGTTATGTCGCTAATTGATTGATCTTTTATCTATCCATTGCTATCCTTATGGCATACTGTGAATCTGTATATGTGATATGCTAAAAAAGATTGGCCAGGCCTAACCTACAATATCCTTATGGTGCTCAACATAAATAAATTGTTCAAACGTTCATAATATGGAAAAAACATATAATTAATGCCTTTATTATAAGTAAAAGTATCAAACGTTTCATTGATTAAATAATCCTAGATTTCTGTAACTATATGTTAATCATTCACGTAATGTAATGTAATTATTAGTCAATGCGTTAGAGAATTGGTTCGTAGACTGGATTTTCTGCAATTAATATATTACTATAATTTGTATGTTTTTTGACAATAAGCTGAATATTCTTAATAGAAACAGCATTAATATTGAATATAGAAATAATGCCAAACAATACATAAGACAACTGTATTGTGAATAATATGGCAAATATGTAGTATAATAGCGATTATTTGTGCATACCTTCCATTGTCGTAGTAATAGTGATAGCATTGCTATAATCACTGAATCCAATCTCATTCTCCAGTTTCACTCTAATATCATAGGCAGTGATCGGCGAAAGATTGACAATTGTTATGGTGTTAGACGTCGAATGGATGAGCAGTGCTTCGAACCATTGGTCTGTGCGGTGCGAGTGTGAGAGACACGTCGGGTGCCGTTCAATACATTATGGATAGCAATGGATAGATAAAAGATCAATCAATTAGCGACATAACTGTCTAAACATTATATAACACCCCAAACACACACATGGTTTAGGAGAGCACACATTCATAGATGCCATTGATATTCAATCATTTATGGCACAGACATATATTAAATGGCGATCTCTCTCTCTCTCTCT